ACCAAAATACGTTATGCAGTCATTCTTTGGAGTCTGCATGGGATAGACCCCAGGACACGGCACAAAATCTAAAGACGCTCAAGTCCCTTGTATAAAATGGTGTACTATTTACACATAATCTTGTGTACTTAAAAATCACCTCTAGATTACTCATATTACCTACTACAAGGTAAATACCATGTAGGGCTCGGGATGATCTCTATCACCACAGATCCATAAGTAAATACTATGATAATAGCTGTTATACTATTTTGTTTAGGGGTAATGATAGGGAAAAATGGAGTGATGAAACTTATAGATATTATTTTCAACCTGCAGTTGGTTGAATCCATGGATGCATGAACCCCAGGTTCTGACAGCTGTGTATGTGTAATATCCACCTATATACAAACATACACAGACATGAATATACGTGTATATTCATTTAATTTTTAAAACTTTATTCTTACAAGTTAAAGGAAAATATCACCCTAATGTTTTGAATGTTGTATTTATAATCAGCAATACCTAATTGATAGGGTTGCTCAGTAGTTTAAATAAGAGAACATGTAACGTACCTAACACACACTTGCCCAAGTAGGCGCTTGTCCGTGGCCCCTCCTTCCTCACTTCCAACAGAATACAAATGGACATAAGCAACCTAATACTTTATTTGTCTGTCTGGACAATGTCAGGAACAGGAGAGGGACCTGCCTCAAACTATGCTGAATGAAGGTAGTTCATTGTGACTTCTTGTGATAAGAAGGTTCAGAATCGGCTGGATCTAGAGTCTGAAGGTGATTAATCTACTAGCCCTCCCTTGTGCCTTTTGTCTCTCCCCCTCTTCTGCCCTTTCCTTTCCCCCATTTCCTGCCTCCATGCTGGCTGGATCCCTGGGAAATTTCTCCCCAGGAATGGCAAGAACAAGTGTCAGCAGCTCTAGAATTAAACCATATTAGGAATAAAATATCAAAATAGAAGATCACATCTTTCCGATTGGCTGGGCAAGAGTCTCTCAAAAGGCTGGCATCAGTGAAAAACCACTAGAATCCTAAGAATCATTAGAAAATTGTAATCACAAACTATCCAAAGGTTCAGTGTAGTTAGAGCACTGTATGGAATTCTGGTCAATTCAAATAAGAGAAAAGAAATAAGCTGACATACGTGCAAACAAAAGCAAATTAACTGACCAAGAGTAGGAGGAAAATTTCACTTTATATCATAAAACAAAACCTAGAAAAATTAGGCTTTAAGTTTATACATAGCAAACCTCTGTGTCGATGATTAAATAAGAAAAAAATAAAAAAAAGCATTACTTCTGTGGCACTTCTATCCCTTGGGAGTATGGCCTGGAAAATCGGTAGGGTTTTCAGGAGAGGGCATGTGCCTTCCTCCAGGGAAACACAGCCATGTTCCAGAGAAAGAGCCCAATGAACTGGCTTAGGCTGGACCTGAGCTCTACCGAGTAACTTCATAGCTTCAGAGAAACCAATTCTACAAATCATTTCAGTTTTTTTCCTCCAAAACTGATTTGCATAAATTTTACTAGAAATGAATTTTCAAAATGAAATTCTGTTAAAATCAACGATGATGGCCAGGGTCAGGATAACCTGACTCTTGCTGCTATAATAAACACAAAAACATTAGCACATGAAACAGTCCTGATTTTTTGAAATGTTTCCATTGCAAGTTGACATACACACCGGTAGGTAGGACAGCTATGCGAACATAGAGGTAGAAATTAGAGTGAGACAGGCTGGGCCTGGAGCTTAGTGGTAGAGTACACGGCTAACACGCTTGATAATCAGGCCCTGGGTTCACTCCCCAGCATGGAAAACAGAAAAAGGCGAAGAGAAGGGCAAGGAAGAGAGGGGCAAAGGTGAAAAGCGAAAGGTAAAAAGTGAGAAAGGGGAAAGGGCAGGGCAGGGCAGGGCAGGGCAGGGCAGGGAAGGGAAGGGAAGGGAAGGGAAGGGAAGGGAAGGGAAGGGACGACTATAAACTGAAAGCCAAGAACTCTAAGAATTTCTGGCAACCACCAGGAGCAAAGAAAGAAAGGTGGAGCAGATTCTCCCTTAGAGCCCCAGACCTGAGAGACAAGCAGTCCAATTTGTAGCTATTTGCTATGATGCCATGGCTTGGATGTCCCCTCCGAAACTCAGGGCAAAGGTCAGTTGCTACTGTAACAGTACTTTGAGGTAGAACCTTTAGGAAGACTCCCCTTCATTATTTTAAGGAGTGCTCCTTACTGCAGGAGTAGCCTTGCTACAAAGCCAGCTGTCTCTCTGGCGCATTTCCCCTGCTCCTACACTTTTGTTCTCATGAGCTCTCTCACCAAGTGCTGTCCTCCGCCACATCATGGTGTAGTAGGTCCCCTGGCACCTGACCGTTGACTTCCCAGACTCTAGGAGTATGACAAATATATTTATTTTCCTTATAATTTATCAAGTGTGCCATATTTTTTAAAGAAGCATAGAAGTGACGGAGGTTTATAATGATCCTAGGAAACTCACAGCTGGAAATATGTGCAATGAAATGAAAATTAAAATTCTAGACCAAAGACCTTAATTCTAGTTCATTTTACCCCATTGTGATCTATC